GTTTTTATCCAAAGCGACTTACAATTGCTATATATGTCAGAGGTCGCACGCCTCTGGAGCAATTAGGGGTTAAGTGTCTTGCTCAGGGACACATTGGTGTCTCACAGTGGATTCGAACCGGAGTCTCTCACACCAAAGGCATGCGTCTTATCCACTGCGTCATCACAACCCATGTGTCTTATCCACTGTGTCCTTGCTGAATCAAAATATTAAATTAAAAAAACAACAACATTTGAACAGTACTGTACAGTATACACATAATAATTTATTTCTATAAGAATATTTTGTTTTTGTTTGCTTGTTCGTTTTTTGTTTTTTGTTTTTTTGTATTACATCGCTATTAATGCATTTGTCTCTTTTCTCTCTTTTATTATCTTAAATCCTAAAGCCTATTTGTTCTACTTCTTTGTCCAAATTCTGCTTTGATTTTGGACTGTGTATTTACACAAAATTGGGAAGCTCACGTCTATGTTTAGATTTAGAGCTAACACTTTTTTTGTGGTAATTCAATCACAATTTCCACAGAAGCACAAACTTCCCCGAGCCAACAGACAGCAGGCCTGCAACAGGGTGCGGCATGTGGATATCCATGTGAGCTCCTTGTTCAGAGAACAGTCACAAGGTGTAATTCTATGCAGTCGACTATACATAAATAGATTGCGTTAGCAGACTGTTTTGCATAAGCAAATGATCTTCATATCAGCTGCCCATTGCTCTGTATAACATAGCTGTTTCTGGCACATAATTGAGCAAGTCACTAGTGATTATCCCTTCGCAAGGAAAGTATGTTTCCTTCGTGTTGGACCGGGACGATAACCAGCACGGTTCAGAGGGGTCGTGATGTCTTTCCCCCCATGATCTTTACTGAATGTTGGTGTTTGTGCCAGTACAGACGGGGTGGTGAGGTGTGCCTATGACTCCTGCGGCGCGACATTCAGGAGGGGCCTTCTGGCTGCACGGGCCAGCGGCACCGCCTCCTCCGGTTTGTCTTTGATGAACATGTTGAGGTCTCAGCAAGGGGACATGTGGGGTCATGAGATGCTGCCACTGGCGTGCGGAGGTCAGCCTGTTTATCTACTTCCTCTTGCCGGCGTGCCGCTACACTAAGATAGGATGCTGGGGGACAAATTTAGACCTCCAGCTCACCCTCCATCTGCCGCGGCTAGCTGTAGGACTGTCTCCATGGGAACCGGAGCCAGGTTGCCAAGAGTAAAGCTGGAAAGAGAAGCACAAACTCTTTATCCGTCATTCGACTCAACTAAAAAAAAAAAAAAACACCATTTTAATGGACCTGACATGAAGACGACAATGAATAATATTTCCTATACAGAATGATTGGATTATTATGATCACTTAAAAGCCAGAACACTGCCATCAATTTTGTATTGTAATTATACAAGCATTAGACAAAATTAGCTCCTTGGTCTCCTTATTTACTACAGTCTTGACAAGCTGCCATGTGGCCTCTAGAGTCCTTGAATCTACTCTCAATTCCATTAAAGAACCTATTTTTTCACCGCAGCAGGGTTCGCTCACCTGGAAACCACTAGAACCGAGCCGACCACATCCAGTCGGGAGATATTTATATCATTCTTGGTGGTGCAATTAACATACGACGAACAAGGTGACATTTCTTTTATCAAATCTGGCGAGTTGTCACTAGGACAGCAGGAGGCAGAGAAAAAAAGCAAAAAGATGGGAGAGCTTTAAAATGAGTTTTTCCTCTCCTGTCTATAAGCTTCTGTGGGTCGTTCTCTGCTGTGCACCGCTTATATAGGTTTATATGTGAATAAAAGCCTAAATTAAATCTGTAAATTAAAGAAAATCTGTTTGTTCAGAGAAAATTTACTAATCCTTATATGGATTAGTTTGACAAACTCTTTATGAAATTTTTGAAGCATCAAAATGTTAGTTGTGTGAAATTTCATTGGAGGGACAGAAATTTTTTAGATTTCATAAAAAATTTGTTTTGAAGATTAAAAAAAAGTCTTACGGGTTTGATATAAAACAACATTTGAGGGCGTTTTTCCTTTGTTTTTCGCGCACAGACAACCACGTTGTCACGATCCATGTTCACAGGGATCGACAAAAAATGATTAAAAATGCTGGATTATGCATTTTTATCTATGTCACTCTGCGCTTATAGACCGAACACGTAATATTGCAACGAACATAGCAATTTCTCATTTTTGTAGTTTATATGGAGACAATATAGGTAGGCTATTGTAATTGTATTTGTATTGTAAGCCTGCACTTTGAAACCCATTTTCAAAAAAATAAAATAAAAAATTCAGGCCCCCAAAACGGGGGGTGTAAATGAGTGGCATCAAGTTTTCAGGGTTTTTTTGTTTAAAATGGTGTTGTGTAAATGGCCCCTTTGGACTAGTCTAGTGAAAATAATACATCTCATTGTTTAAGTGAAAGTTAATTGCAAAAGTGAAAGTCATTTTATTTTATCCTATTTTACTTTTTTTGTGAACTTTTTCATAAATGTAAATTACATAACAGGAAGTTGTAAAGTGTCAGTACAGCATGGTCTGTATGTCAGTTTGAGGACCTCCCAGCTGTTCGATACTCCTCTTCCTCCATATGTTTGAGAGAGAGAGAGAGCTAGAGAATAAGGATCTTGCATCATCTTTTGACACATTCTCCTGATGCCTTCAGTTCATTCTTCACTTGACCTCTGTCTGGATTTTGTTTTCTGTCTCTCTATTCTTGATGTTACATGAGCCTGTTACAAATAGTAATGCTATTTTTGGGGGGATTTCAAGTTCCAGATTCATTATCATTCATTATCATCACAGATTCATTATCATTATCTTTCTGTTGTGCCAATTATCATCCTTACAATCCAAGTGAGATTACACATAATCAAGCAAATATTCAATTAAAACAATTATTTCTTGATATGGAATAAAGCCAGAATAGCTAATTCCTGTTGACTTCAGGTCACTTTTCTAATGCAGGTCATTGCCATAGTGCACAGTATATTTGCAATTTTAGTTTGCAAGTGAGATTGACCATTCATTACATGATGTTAACTAACCACATAACATATAGATGTTTATTACTGCTATATTGGACTTTGTGCATAGATTCACATAGTGCTCTTCCCATCCGAAACCCTCTTAATCGCCCTGTTTCAGAGCCACATCAGTACCTTGTCAGAGGTCATTAGGCTGCATGTGTCTCAAACTGATTTTTGACGAATGGACATCCATTATAGATTGATAACAACACTGTCTCTTCTCCTATCTACATTTGTCTCTCTCTGTGCCCTTCTAGTTTACATCTGTATGTATCAATCCAGATGAAAATTCCAGCAATCAAGCAGTGTAATTCTATAATGCACTGCACGTCCTAATCACTAATATACCTGTGCAAATCTGATGCGTTCATTTATAAATTTGTGGTTCAGTCCTTTTGCAGTCAAATATATACCTCTGTCATGATGATAATGATGAAGGTCTTAGTGTTGTTGTATCTTCAATAATTGCTTGCTGTTGATAAAACACTGTGTAACCAAAGCCTACCTCTACTCTGAGAAAGCTCATTAAATTGTTGCGCATCACTCAGCCAGCAGCAGCAGCTGTTTGAGAAAGCAAACTCAGTCAAGAATCTGTCAAGTTATTTCAAGAGGAAAGCAGTTTTTTTTTCTGCTCGCTGCCTTTTCCACAGTGAACACCAAGAAAAGAAAGCTAAGAAGGTGTAGTTTTTTTAAGATATAGAAAATATGTAAGGCACCTCACTGAAAATGTTTTCCAGTAAAAATATTTAAAAATCCTAATATTTAAATATGATTAATTTACTGGAAGTAAAATTGTCAAAACTACTAATATACATATATATTGAATCAAGTTTTTTTTTACCTCATTGGCATAGTCATTAAAGCATAAATCTCTCTAGATTTTTTTAAATGATGGGGTAAAAAAAAGTGCTGAATTATTCAAATAAAATGACCATATTTTCTGAGAAAAAAAAATCTTGTGTTAAGAAATCACAAAATGTTAAAAAAAAAACTGTATAAACTACTGTTTATGGATTTTCCATTTCAAAATGTAGTCTAATATGGTCTAATTTCCTCATTGAACTCCATCTGGTAGATAAACATCAATGCTATATTTGAGTGCATTTCAAGACATAATCTTAATAGTTTAAAGGCGCAAGTATTTTGTCTCTCAAGTAAGGAATTAGACCAGTTTTAAGCCCAGTGTTCATTATGAAGTACACTTAAGACATGGTCCCTCCCTAGAACCTCTGATGTTTTTTACATAGCTTAGAAGCTTATTTTGTCTGTGTACAGAAATCATAAAAGAGACTGTTTTTTATTATTATTATTCATTCGTGTTTTTGTTTTTGCTGAAATGATGACAGCAACTTGCCACAACAAAAGCTACGTTTAGATCATATCATCCAGTATCATATTGTGTGTGCAAGGAACAGCTTGGAAGTTTAAAAGAGAAATACTATAGCTAGGTCAATGAAATTTAGCAATTTCCTTGTTTATGCTTATGAGATAATTTTGAAACCACTGGCTCTACATGAGCTTGGATCACTTTAGAGTTTTGTTAAAGCTTTTTAAAGCTTTGCTTTGTTCATACTATCAATCTTAGTGCTCAAATTTTAGTGTTTGCCATTGGTGGTGTTTGAATTTTGTGTTTTTAACATTTCAGTAGAATTCTGAACGATTTTGTGACAGCAAGGTGGTAAGGGTAGGAGTGTTGTTGTTATTATAAAATCATGTAGAATTTACTTCCAAAGTTTTTTTCCTCAATTAAGTAGCTTGTTTTATTGTAATATTGTAAGTATGTCTCCAGTATTCTTTCCTTAGAAGTTTAGAATCAGGAATATGGATAAATGATTTGCAAAATAATCCCCCTTTTCAGAAATAGTTTAAAAATTAGTAGTGGTAGTTTAGCATTTTCGTATAAACAGTAGCTTACTCAATACTGTTTATTATAACAACTAACCAGTTCTTTTATGTTTCTGTGCCTCTGCAGGATGTTGTGAAGTTCTAACATGTGACAAGCTGAAGACGGGAGACAAATAGGTCTTGAATAATTATTCACGTGTCAGCAGAGAAAGTGCCTCAAAAGCATCTTGAGACATTCTTTGTCAATCCCCATTGCCAGGCTTCAGCCCAAAAGACACATAATGATGAATTTCACCAAGGCTGTTTGTCAACAGGAGAGGAGACATTTAGCACACAACCAGCACTCCCATTTATGGCGGCCGCATACTGACACTGCTTAATTATGCCTTTGTCAGTTAAGACACTATCCTGTATCTTACATTTAATTATGGCCTAATACAATTAGCCCCCTAAAGCGAGTGTAAAGACTTTTTCCTATCGGAAGAGGAGTGATGCAATGATGTTTATCAGATTGTTGCTCAAAGTAGCATTCCCATAGCATCCTTGAGGCCTCCTCCCCACATCCTATGGAGGCAGAGGAAAAGCAATCGACCGATGTGGAGCGGTCTGGTGGGCAACAGCAGCCATTGTCAGAGTCTCTGTTAGCAGCACAGCTGCCTCATTTACAGCAACAAGCTACCTCGCAATCTGTCCATGGATCACATGGCCGCCTTCAACACAGGCAGCCAAAACGCTTTGAAATGCTCCAAAGGCAGAAGAAGCAGCATCAGTCACAGGCGAGTGGGTTATCTTGGCAGCTTTCAGAAGTACCTGGTCCTTCACAAAGCAGCTGTACTGCCCTGGAAGAACCATCTCCCAATATTCATAATGTTCATCAAACTCAATCTCTGCCTAGTGTTGAAGTACAGCAAGGCACCCCATGTAGACGAGAACGCAAACCCCAAAAACCAGGGAAATATGTGTGCACATACTGCGGCCGTCCTTGTGCAAAGCCTAGCGTCCTCCAAAAACACATCCGATCCCACACAGGGGAGAGACCCTATCCATGTGTTCCTTGTGGCTTCTCCTTCAAAACCAAAAGCAACCTGTATAAACACCGCAAATCTCATGCACATCGAATAAAAGCAGGCATGGCCTCGAGTCGTGAAGAGACCAGTTTCATTGAGCCAGAAGGTGGAGCATTGGGAGATGATCAAGAAGAGGGTACAGAAGGAGAGAGTACAGGTTCTGAGGATGAGACAGGGAAACACCAACCATCTACCTCACATGGTAGGCCAACTCTGAAAAAAAGTTGCAAAGTGGAATTGTCATTCGTAGAAGAGGGACCCCAAACTGAGGATTCACAGGCAGTCAAGCAAAGGCTAGCAATGAGGCTAAGCGAGAGGAAGCGAGCTCCCAGAACATCTTCAGATGAAACCCAATCCTCACTGGGTCCTGGTAGTAAGGGGAGCACAGAATCTGGCTATTTTTCCAGTTCTGGGAGTGCTGAACTTTCCCAAGTGAGCCCGCCAAATGCCAGTGCTAAAACATATGCTGAGATCATTTTAGGAAAGTATGGGCGACTTGGACAACAACAAAGAATTCCTCATCAACAACTGCAATTATCGTCATCTTCAGGTCAACAGGAAAAATCAATCCCTTTCCCTGTTCCTAAGACACAAGTCATTGAGCATATAACCAAGCTAATCACTATAAATGAAGCTGTGGTGGATACAAGTGAAATTGATAGTGTCAAACCAAGACGTTCTTCGCTCTCTAGAAGAAGTAGCATCGAGTCAGTCAAGTTCTCTTCACTCAAAGAACCCTGTGTTAAAGCGGATGCCCCAGGCTCTTGTGGTTCTGCCGTTCAACTTATTCCTGGTAGTTTTGCTGGTGAATTACCTAGCTCATACTTGGCTCAAACAGAAACTTTGGCTGGTCAGAGCTCCAGTGCTCTTCTCTATAGGAGTCAATCAATGCCATCTTCGGGTAATACTTCAGATGAACCTACACACAACTTTCATCTCAGTCATTCTTTTGATGATCAGCAGGCCATAGCAGCTGAAATGAGGATTGGGTCACATCAACGAATGTTACGACGCCAACCTGCCATTGAGGTGGCAGTTGGGGTGGACCTCATTATAGACAATGCAGATCCTTCTTCTAGTTTGAAAGAAACCGAATCAGGAAAACAGCAAGAGTCTGATGCTCACTTGAAGAAGCATGACTCTTACGCAGAACACAGATTAGCGTTTATGAGTAAATCTGCACACGGCCTGTGTAAGGAAGGTAGTTCTTTTATTGAGAATCAGCCACAGGTTATGAGCTACAAGTTCAAAGCCATGGCCATGGCTGTGCGCAAGAGGAAAAAAAAAGAGGAAAGTCTTGAGGAAGACCCTCCCAGTCCAGGTCCAACAGCTGTGTCCTTCAGTTCCCAGCCTCCATTGATGCTTGACAGTATTGATAATCAGGGTGCACCTTGTGGTCTTTCACAGAGTGAACTAGAACGGAGAAGTCAATGGAAAGAAATTTCTGTTATCCAGCATACCAGATCCTTTGAAAAACAGGAAAGCATCTCAATGGCAAATCAGGAAGCAGAGCCAGAGCATGAACCATCACAGGAGCCAAAACCAACCTCCACATCACGGTTAATCCGTCAACCCAACATTCAAGTGCCAGAAATTCTGGTTACAGAGGAGCCAGATACAGAGACAGTCTCTCATCCAGTGAACACGTACATCTTAAAAGAACCAGAGAAGGTGGAGGAATTCCAGTGGCCTCAGCGTAGCCAAAGTCTGTCTCAGCTCCCTGCAGAGAAGCTACCGCCAAAGAAGAAGCGCCTCCGTTTGGCTGAGGCAACTCAATCATCAGGAGAATCTAGCTTTGAGTCAGTATCCTTGCCACATAGCCCAAGCCAAGAGAGCAATGTTGCTCATTCCTCCAGTCGATCTGCATCCTTTGAGGAATCAGGAAGGCCAGACTCTGAGATGCAAAGTGGTACCTGGAGCTCCCAAGGGTCTCACATGCTGACCGTTCCATCAAGTCTCCACCAGCACCATCATTCTCACAGAGAGATGCGCCGTTCAACATCTGAACAAGCATCTGCAAGTCCACCAAACCCTGCACACGTTGAAGAAACAAGAAGTAAGTCATTTGATTATGGCTTCCTTTCTCTAGAGCGTACTTCTGCTACTTGGAAGGAGAGAAGGAAATGTCTCTTGGTGAAGCACGGAACCCTTGGTGAGCCTGACCAGGAGGAGCCATCTACTAAACCTGGTGTCTCAGCTGTTTGCCAGTCCTACCCAATCCATCCTCCATTCACAATCACAGAGCATAGAATGGAAGGCAGGACCTCTAGGTTTAGTTCGGAGCATATTGGGAAGACCTTGCAGCTCTTTCAATCTCCTCTTACCCTCCCACCAGCCGTATTCCCCCTACAAGCAAACCCTAATTTTTGTTCCCCAAGTAGGCTCACAAGATTCCTCCCAGTAACTACAGCAATTTCTGCAGTTGTTTCCAACCAGATGTTTCAACAAGCTTTCCTTCACAGTGAGGAACCTTTGCTACATCCAAGACCCATAGAGTACGTAGAACATCTTGGACTACCCCTTCAGCCACTCACCACTTTTTTCCCACTACAATCAAGTGATGTTGCTCAGGATGTTTGCTTTCCCATGCCAGGTGATCTGACTATTCAGGTCCCTTCAGGGCCTCTTTTCAGGGAGTCTAGGTCATCACCTTCCTCCTTGCATAGCCCCGGTCATTCACAACAGCAGCTAGCCATTCGTCACTGTCCCCATCCTGTGATTGCTCCTTGCCTTCAACAGCTTTTGCCAGTGGTCTCTCTTGTTGTGCCTGTGCGCTTACAGACTCAGATTCCCACCTATGCTAGTGCCATGTATACAACCATCTCACAAATTTTAGCCACAACGCAACATCCAGTCTGCTGCACGGCTATGGTCGTCATGGGTAAGCTAGAGGAAGACAAGCTTCAGAGATCTTACCTTAGGCTGCCGTCACCTATCGCCAAAAATTATATACCCTTGCCGCTGCCTCCTGAGCATGGAGCAGGAACTTCATCTGATGACTGCTCTGGGCAGCTCATTGCTGGAGGAAGTAAGCGAATGCTGTCACCTGCAGGTAGTCTAGAACTCAGTTTAGAGGCACAGCGGCACCAAAAACGGGTGAAAGAGGAGGAGGAGAAAGAAGAGGATGACAATGAAGATGGTTATAACAAATGTGACAAGAAATCTCAGGAGGTGTGTCAGGAAAATATAAGCAGAGGCTAACTATGGAAACAGCAGGGAGCGACAACGATCCAAGAGAAGTAATAGAAACTGAAAAGTTTAGCAAGCAGGACATAACCCAACAGAAAACTGAAAACATCGAGGAGGGAAGGAAAGAGGCAGGACACCGGTACACTCCAAGAGTGACAAGTCCTGAAAGATCTGTGGAACCCTCTTACCCCAGTTTGCATACAACTACATCCGTCAGCTGGTGCTACCTGAATTACACAAAGCCCACCCCATCTACACATAGAAATTCAACTTCTGTCTATTCCTCATGGAGTGTAAGCATGCATAACCCTAATATACCTGGCTTGTCCACCAAAATATTACTTTCTCTGCTGCGCTCCAAACAGAAGCATAGTGCTGAGACATACACTATGGCTACAGCTCCAACACCAGTGGCTGACAAGCTGGTTCCTACTGACAGCAAAATAACCAATGTGTCAGAGGTAAACATCACTGTAATTTTTCATTTCAACTTTTCAAAAAAATTTCAGTGAGACAATTATATACAAAAAAAATATATTGAAAGTTTGAAATTGCATGCATTTTGGTATCTAGCATGTGTTTTGTGGTGGTGTGTTTATGTACTACAGTGTTGGTAAATTAGCCTGTCTGTCTGGAGTGTAGGTATGTGCCTCTCCACCCAACACGCCCGCCAAAGTAAAAGAGGAACCACCAAATGAAAGAGGGGAAAAGGATAAGAAGAGTGCTGATGACGTGCCCGCTGCCTCGACACAAAGTGAGGCAGCTCGAAATCGTATTTGCATTTTTGAAGGCGGGTGAGTAAATTCTCATGAGTTATTTTGCAACTAGCTGTCCAGTTAAGATACAGTAGTTAAGAGTTGAGCTACATTATGAACTATCAGCAATAACATATTGCATAAATAATTTTGTCACACTACACTCACCCCCACTTACTGGAAGAAATAGCTTGTTATTGGAAATGCACTATTTGAAAATATTTGACCTAGTGCGGCACTTCAAGATAGAGGCTGGGTGAAGTTATGAGGTTTAATCTACAGTTTTTTTCATTAGTTAAATATTTGGGGTACTAATGATCAAAATATATATCATGTTAAAGAGTACTAATGTGCAGTTTGTTCATAATCTTCCCCGCCATGAAATTGCATTATAGCACAGTTGCCTCTCAGCTTGAGCTTTTCTGTTTTTTATTTGCTGTGTGAGAGACAAAGACATGGTAGCACAGGTGAGACTACGAACCATTAGGGACTTTATTTATCCTGCCTTGTTCAGTTGTCTGCTGAATTCACACCTTGCTCAAAGGCATGAATTTGGATGGAGTATATAGAGATAAAGAGCGCTGATAACTTAGTAGCTCGGCAGATTGTTTTTTGAAGTCGGGTGCTAATTAGTGTTGTACCAGCTATATCTGCATAGCACAGTTAAAGAGTAAAACAACATTTATTGTTTCTGTAAAGCATTGTTGGTTATTTGTTATTATTTCAGATTCCAAAGATGTTGGTGTAAATGAAAGAGATTTTGCAATGTATAAACAGCTTTTTTTATATTACCAGTGAGTTTTGTGAGTTCATGTACTTGTGCTGAATTGCAACATCAAAGTGAAAACTTGCAGTGATAACTTCATTTGAAGTAAAATTGGATGAGATCATCAAAATACCACATGAAATGAATGTTCATGTAAATTCTGTTAATAAACATTAGTCGTATATTATCGAGGGATATAATCAACAATGATTTTGGTCACAATCGTGCAGTCCTAGATTGTAGTACATGATTTCAATATCATTTTTAGTATAAAAATGAAAGGACCGCTGATTGATGGATGAATAGATAATAAACAGGAGAGCTGACCTGTAAACATCAAAAGCTTTGGATTCATTAGCTGGGTCTCTTGCATTCATCTGCTTATGCGGGGCTATCAATGTGGCTGAGTGCTTAAACTGCGGCAACAACTCACCACAGCCTGCATTTTTATCCTTGCTTCCTTTGTCTCTCTCACTGCCTTTATTTTGCTCATATGGTTCTTCCGCCTTGCACACCCACGCTGTCCCTAATCACATCAGACTCTGCACTCTGTCTCACACACACACACACTCCATTTTGTCTCCAAAACTTTTCACATCCTTCAGCACCCTTTTGTCTTTGCACCTCTCATAACAGCATTTGTTGTTTGCTTGCTTTCTCATTTGGAGAACACAATGCTACTGAAGGACAATCAAAGGCACCAGATTTTCTGTAGTCACCAGCCCCCTTTCAAAGATACCTTTCTAAAAATAAACGATAGGTGTGTTTGTATATTAAAAGACTTTAATGGTGTCACTCTGATTGCATTTGCTGTATATGTATATAAGTGTATTGGATTTATTTTATTTTTTTACCTAGAAACCGATGTTTAGCAAGTGGTTTCCTCTCCACCCCATCCATTTTTGCATTTTTCATGAAAGCCTACTGACATTTTTTTCAAAATGCATGTCTACATCCCATCCTGCTGCCATCAGGCTTATAAAGCAGATGAGGATTCATACTCTATCAGTCAGTAATGCAATTTTACCTTAATATGTTCTCTCTGACTGCAATGTTAAAATGTGTATACTTATATTTATTTATAATATTTGACACAATAAAAATAAATATATATTTTTTAATATTTAAATTATCTCTATATATTTGCAATACTTTGTTTTTATATATTAATATAAATTTTACATTTAAATGTTACAAATAAATGATGATAATTTATTTATTTTTAATTTTTTAATAGTATACATCAAGTATATTTTGTGATTAGGACCATTCGTCAGCTAAAAGGGGTTTATTTTGCAATACTAACTGACTGGCTTTACAGTTTACAGCTTATTAAATGACTGATTATACCAAATAAATAAATAAACTTCTAATATCAAATCAACTTATTATCATAGATCAGGTTAATGTTTCCTTTAGAAGAATAGTCTAATACAACATACAAAGCAGCCTAGCAACAAGACAAACACTGCAACAAAATACAATTTTATATTATTATTAAGATTAGGGTTAGGGTTAGGAAATGAATGGCATACTTATTGTCATTTATTTTTCTCTTCTCTCTGTCTCTGGTTCTAGCCTAATTTACTTTTAATAGCTATGTTTTATTAATTCCTGATTGTTTTAGAATAAATAATGTCCTTTGTTTCAAATAAATACAACTGACATCTCATGTGCAGTACATTGTTTATTGTGTAGAGACCTACAGTAAATGCTTACTATGGAGTTTATGGATTATAGTCTTGCCATCAAAAAACACCTAGTTTGAGCCAAAGAGTGAATTATTTTAGACCATCGGTGGACGAACAAGTGCTTAAAATATATATTGGCAGTCCATACCTCTTATAAAGAGGGATTCATTGTTTTGGTAATTCATGAGGATCCTGCAAAAATGAAGACTGTATCGTTATATTGTTTGTTGTCTTGACTGTTAACCTTTTAAATATTTTATCTATTATTTTTATTTACCTCTCTGTCTGTCTGTCTGTCTCTCTCTCTTTCACCTGAGCAGGTACAAGTCAAATGAGGAGTATGTGTATGTTCGTGGGAGGGGAAGAGGGAAATACGTGTGTGGGGAATGTGGGATTCGCTGCAAGAAGCCCAGCATGCTAAAAAAGCACATTCGCACTCATACAGATGTCCGTCCCTACGTCTGTAAGCACTGCAACTTTGCCTTTAAAACCAAAGGTAGGCATGCATCTCTTTCAAACTCCTACTTTCCCGTAGCCATCTTTTTAATCACAAAATTCTTGTATTCATTCTTGTACATCCTTTTTGTATTATGCGTCATTGAGAATTACCTTTTCCTTGAAGGGAACCTTACCAAACACATGAAGTCCAAGGCCCACGGTAAGAAATGCCTGGAGATGGGTGTGTCCGAATCATCTGTGGATGAGCTGGAGACTGAGGAAGCAGGTAGGGTTGCCAAAAAGAGTTGTGCTTTGATGGACTTTGATTGATAATTCAAACCATCTTCCTCGTTTCTCAATAAGGATTCCTTGCATTACATGAGTGAGAAATTATTATGAACATTCAGGCATGGTTTATTGTGTTACAGCACATGCATATAATGCTTCACACATTAAAAATGTAAACGTCTTGTGTTAATAGCGCAGTACATGTTTTAAACACTTAGATTGCTTTCCCTTTTGGTGCCAGACGTCTTCTAGAATATGTTCTACCAGATCTATGTATTTTTAAGCTCTGTTCTTTTTTTCTTTTCTTTTTTTTGCTTCTTTACTTCATTGGTACAAAAGTGATGTCAACCTTTCAGTGTACTTTCAGACTTGCCAATGAAAATAGTTTGCCATACAGAGAGGCAAGACTGACCTCCAGTTTATCGTGTTTATATAAAACCAGAAGTGAAAATTGCCTGCCTCTCTCTCTCTCTCTCTCACACACTCACTCACTCATTCTCACTCCGTCTCTTTCTTGACATTTCTCATTCTTAGTGCATCTAAGAGCTCCAAGGACATTTCAGTCAGCCACACACCATTCACTAGATTTTAAATGTAGCTGATGAATGAAACGCATATGAAAACAGATGCCTGCTGCAATTCAGTGTTATATATAGCTTTTCTCGGGGACAATATATAATTATGTACAGTTTATGAGGAGTTTTCACATGGGGAAGTTGTCAAAAGGGCTTTGACTTTGTGTAGCTGTTTGATGAACAAGTGAACACAATTCAGACAAATGTCAACTATATAAAGATGTATTTTAACCAGTGGGTTGAGTTGTGTTCTCTGGGAGAAGGGAATTTTTCATAAATGTCAAGTTGGGAAAAGTTGCCGCATGCCTTTTTAAATGTTCAATACTACCATTCAAATGTTTGGGCATCAGTAAAAAAATTTTTATTAATTAATACTTATTTTCACTATATTTATCTGTATTTTTGTCTTTTAAAAAATAATAAAAAATCACACAAATGGCAAACTTTTGAACGGTGATGTACATGTGTATACAAAAATTCATTTGAAAAATGAATCTACCCTTATAAATATTCACAGGATTCATATTTGTGATAACTAGCCCCAGTCTCCCATTTAGTTCATTTTTGAATTTGTGTAGTTATTTTTTGTGTGTTGACACCTTTGCTATATGAACACATCCATTTCTGTCCAACAGGTGGCAGTGAGGAGCAAGTGTGTGATTCAGAAGACCAAGAGGGGCACCAGTTCTCTGATGTTGAAGATTCTGAAGCAGAAGATGATGAAGATGAAGAGGAGGAGTTCTCTTCCCACGATGAACCATCTTCAGCCTGTTCCACTGATACTCGTCAATCCATAGGTGACCTCTCTGAAAGTGGCCAAGGCTCACAGACTGAGCCCTCTGACCCTAAAGCAAAAGAGGAATACTCTTCACCCCACAGGCCTTTCCCTGGCATGCGAGCTGCGTCTCCAGGCAGCAAGAGGGCGTTGTTTTCTCGCAAGGGCTGGGAGGTTTCCCCGAGGACCTTTTCCCCTAGCAGTGAGGGCTCTCCTCTTAGAAGCCTGTCTCCCAGGCTTGAACTGTCCTCGCCTAGCCGTCATCCCTCTCCCTCCCCAGAGAGAGGCCCGTCACCCATCAGAGCCCTCTCCCCTCTCAGGCCCCTCTCACCTCTGCGGCCAGTATCCCCTGCGCGGTACAGGAGTGCCAGAGCTCTATGCTCTCTTACGCCTCTAAAGCCCCAGCATCGACCGCACAGCTCACCCGCTGGGCTCCTTTGGGAGCCTGGCTCACCGGCTACTGAGGGTCTAAAGGTGGGTAAAGTGACAGTTTTAAACAAGGCTTTGATTTTTTTCAATCCAGGCTCATGGGAAAAAAAACGTGCCTGTGGCGATATTTCTACAAAATAGTATTATATTGCTACCTGCGCATTCTTCGGCACTTTCAATGAGGAATGACCGGTGAGTGCACTAATTTGTGTTTTTTGATTGTAATGTAAACATTACAAAATGTCAGATGACATCAGTAAAGTTCAGTCGCATTATTTCATAACATTGGCCGTTATGATTTCATTAGACATGATTATCACAATTTATCATAATAGTTAGCAAGTTGTGCTCAATTACACTATTTACAACATCTAGGCTTATATATGTCCTGATAATAATGTCAGATGTTGACTATGTCCTCATGATAATCGCAGGAATCAACATCAACAGCGTCAAGATTTAATTGACTCAATCAACACAATTTGAAGTAAAGTTACAGTCGGGAAGTGCACTGTTAGTCAGCTGAAGTTTGTATAAGCACAGTACGCATGGCCAGACACAGGACTAACGTTACGTGATGTGATAAATACACATCACAACACCTGAGTTCAGCTGGCAAACTAGCTCGCCAATAAAATATAACGAAAAAACAAAACTTAGAGAAACGACTGTTTGTTAGTAAGTCTGCTTACAACTCTGGTAATCGAAAGCTAGCTAGACATGTGGGAATTATTAAACTGGTCTAATTATCAACAATGGATGAATGAACAGCACCGTAAAAAATGACGTACTACAAGCCAGCGCAGCAACATACAACATAGAATGCAAACAAGTTTACACATTTTACAGTTTACAAAGAGATTTACTTAAAAATCCATCAACAAGATCGCCAGGTCAGCATCGCTGTTGCATCCAGTGCTGCTTTTAAGCTCGCGCCAACGAGTGAAAGCCTGACCGAGTGGGACTCTTGTCCGGTTTCTAGCACGGTCCGATTCTCTTTTCCTTTTTCTTGACATTTCTGAGTCTGACCGAGTTTTCTTGGATGCGCGCAAGTAGCTTCATATGTTGTCGTTGATGTGTGCGACCGTAAAGCATTTCGTGATTTTCGCGAGCTGTGTCAGGGGTGCCACTCTCAAACTTGCATTTCCAAGCTTTACTACCAGGATGATTCGCCCAACTATGACTTTGTTTACCGCCAAAACGAATTTGAAGCAGTTATATTAAGGTACAAATCTTGCATAGTGTACCTTTAAACAAAGAATTGCCTACATTGTATTACTCTTTCACAGTAGTGTAAGTGTACTCATAATTTTATTTCAGATGTTCCTGTTTTCAACAAGGACTCATGTAAAATGTTTATATGAAATATTTGAATCTTTTAGTTTAATTTTACACATTCTCGTCACTAAAAAGTTAGACTAAAATTTGATGCAATTTTAGAGTAAGTCTGAATATGGCATGACAAAATATTCATAAAAAGACAAAAGCAATGTAAAAATGAACTGTCATTGAGAATGAATGGAAGTTTGGAAGTTTGATTGCAATGCCATGTCTCCCCCTACAGGACAAGCCTGCTACTCAACCAACTCCACAGGAGTGTACGGCCCCAGATCCCATCCTGCTCTACCCATCCCTACGCTTCTCTCCAAGCGACCCTTTCCCTCCCCCTCCTTTGACGCCACGGACAGTGGATCGCATGTTTAGTCACCTTCCTTTACACTCCCAAGATCAAGCCCGCATGCCCTATCACATGATTCCCATTGGGGGCATCCAAATGGTGCAGCTTAGACCCCAATCACGCCCTAAACTGGAACGACAGTCATCCTCCACCCCTTCGCCCACCTCTCCCAAAGAGGACTCCCCTTTTTCTCTCGCCAGGAGGGATTATCCATGGATCTCGCTTCCAGAAACCAGTCCTCAGAGAACTCTGGCGAACTGCAGGACAAAAAGCCAAGATGAGGGTGCCAATCGGTCTGACCTGTCTTGTCCCGGTACAAGCTCGACGTTTCCCAAACTCCCCCCTTCGCAGCAAGGTACAGGGGAGCAACTGACCACTAAGGTCAGAAAGCAATATGGCGACTTGAGCTCCGCCACAAAGACTCACAGCTTCGGTCCCGAAACATCCATAAAAGTTGCGGCACACAGCGATGAAGGAGCCGAGAGGATCTCGCTGGGGGAAGGGGCGAGTTCCTCGCGTGAAACCACCAGACAGCTGCGCGAGACAGAAAAGCCTATAGCGGCGCCACTCAGGGGACGTGGCTCTTTTTCAGAAGGATGTTCAGGATCCGCCAGTGCTCATCCGAGCCAGGAAGGTGATCCAGATAGCACTTAAAAGCATCTGTGCACAATGGTGAAATGCTTTCTACCGCTAATACTACTATTGTTTTGTTTTGTAATGCGCTTATTTTTTATATACAACATTTTCAATACTATTGGTAACTTGGTAAATGTTTGTTCTGCAATATTCAAGATTGTAATATGATGCACTTTTTTTTCTTGGAAAAAATATTTCTGTAAATCGATTACGTCTGTCCTTCCTGTATCTTAATTGACATTGCAATCTTAATATATCTATTTGAATATGTATATGTAAAAAACAAAACAAAAAACAAAACAAAAAAACTTGTACTTGTAAAACATTAAGTATGGATATGAATAGATTTCTAAGTGACCAAGATGAAAACTTAAATCGAGAGTAATTCCAATATTTCGTGTCCAGTATTGCGCAAATTCTAGTGATGTGTGCCTTTTTCTGTCCAGATTTACTGCTTGAAGTGTCAAAAATGAAAGGCTGTGAATTCTTTTTATGAATCTAGATTTTTGTTTTTTTATTTCAAACGATCTGGTATTTGAAGAAGCGGGAAGATTTTCTTTGTATGTGAGGGTAAACGAGACAAGAGACGAAGGTTTCGGTGAAGAGCCTTGCAGGGAAATTGCACTGAAGTCATATTTTTTATAATACAAGTGATTAATTGATTAGATATATTGTCTCTGTACAGATAGAAAGTCTATGGTCCATATTTATTGCCATGTGAAACTGAAAATACCTATGTTTTGTTTACTTTAGTTTACAAAGGGATTTCTATTGTCATTTTTATTATTCTTTACACTTTTTTTTATATAGTTACTTTTTTTAAGTTATGACCTTAAGACTTGAAATTAATAAACTGGACAGGCTTTCAGTGAAGTCGGTCAATAGCCGAGGTTCAGGATGGACCAAATGCCCTCCAAATTTGTCACAGAGATTTTGCATTTCTGAACCAATAAAGGTACACCAGGAATTATTAAACCTGCTGATGGTGTCCAGTGTTTTGCGGCCAGCAGATGGTGCTGTCTGTCCTTTCATTGGCGAGTTCTAGTTCTCCCACAGGGACTGAACAGGTGGACCTACTGTATGTGAGCTGTGTGGGACGCATACTTAGCGTGTTCAAAACGTGTTTTATAGTTTCCTGGAGAAATAAAATAGCAGTGTTGAGTCAATTATCAGGGATTCCTCACAAATTTTTATTCTCAAGCAAAAAAATATTTGATCCCGATATGTGGCAGATCATCTGTTCAATTCCTAAAAGCAGTTTGTCCAAAGATAATTCAGAAGTGTCATGAGGTGTTTTTAGTTCATTATTCTTAAGACTTTAAATCTTGCTTTGTGTCTGTGACCTTGACGCTATTTTATCGTTTCCTCAAATGCTTTATCTAAAATGATTCAGGTATGTGTACTTGGCATAAACATAGGATAGAAGAAATATTGTGAAATATTTAGTCATTTACACATAATTATATGTAGCCCAATCTTATATTCAACTGCTCATTCTACCCTCATTTATATAATTGTATAATATATATATATAATTCTTTTTGATTATGTAATTTAAAATGTTACAGTATTTTTTGTTAACATTAGTTATTACAAATACAAATATTCAATGTCTCCCGACCTGATGTTCAATCTGGTTTTCTCAATTGAGAAATGCAATGGAAACAATGATCTTGAGCTCAGTGAAATAATCCCGACAGGATGCTTTTGTGCAGTTCTCATGCTCATGTCATAAACCAAACATAATTACAATCATAAATCGATGGAAATCTACAGGTTAAATGGGTCAAATGGTTCAAACTGTATAATCTGGTTCAACCCCGGTGGAGTTAGTGCCATCCCAGTATCTTTATGGAACTTATCGCTATCACTTTCTCTTGAATACAATCTGGACTAAATATTAACCTATCCCAGTGATGCATGACACTACACTTTACTTTATTTTCAGTCTCTGTATTAGCGACAGCCTGTCTGACACTCAGGTTTATCTGCGTCACTGCATGATAGGTACAAATATGCAGCCATACACTGTAAAAAATTGCGGGGTTGTTTTAACCCAACTTTGGGTCAAATATGGACAAACCAAGCCACTGGGTTACATTTTTTAATAACATTTTTAACCCAACATTTGGGTTTGTCCATATTTGACCCAAATTTGGGTTAAAACAACCTATCATTTTTAGAGTGTAGCATTCTGTTGATATACTTCATACACACAAACATATATCTATATATGTGTGTGTGTGTGTGTGTGTGTGTGTGTGTGTGTGTGTGTATCTACATAAAACCAAAAAGAAGGGACTTGGGGGTTGGGTTGAGGATGTAAAGTAGAGCAGAGCTAAATATGCATGAACAGGTCAAAGGGTTGAGAAAGACTGTAATTGAAGATAAACAAAGGTCTTTAAGGAGGGGACAAAGACACTCTAACTAACAGCATTTAATTGCTAATACTACACCTCCCTCCGCACTGCCTGGTGTGCTTGTGTGTGTGTTTATGAGGGAGTACCTGCTGTTTTCAGGTTCATTTGCGTCTCCTTTTTCAATAAAACGGATTATTTGGTAGCACGAATGCACTGAACACGAAGAGCAAATGCATTTTCGAATCATTAAATGTTTTTATTTGGTTTCATGTGAAGCAGTATCAATTGACATAAAATGAGGGTTGTACATTAAATATTACTTTTTATTAGTCACTGAACATTTTCGCTGGTTTCATAAATATATTTAATCATTATATATTCTTCTATGTTGTAAGTATTTTTTAAAACCTGTTTAGTTTTATAATAGCGCTAAAACCTTTCAACAAGTGTGCAAGTGTTACTGACACTGTTTACAGGATAAATATTAGGCTACACATATTAGTTAAACACAGTACATTCTGTATATTAATATATCCAATATTCAGTACAGCTTAAAACATTCATAATAATCATAAATGTTTCATGAGCACCAAATCGTCATATTACAATGATTTCTGAAGGATCATGTGACACTGAAGACTAGTAATGATGCTGAAGATTCAGCTTTGCCATCACAAAAATAAATGACATTTTATAATATATTACAATAGAAATGAATTGCAATAGTATTTCAGTTTGATTTAATAAATGCAGCCTTACTTTATATGATCATGCGTCTAAATCCGACACACATGGCAACCTTTAGCGTCAGTTAAAAGATGCTCATCCTAGTCCGTCATCTAACTGACGCTTTTGACCATGCGTCTAAATCGGAAGTACATGGTAACCTTTCGGCAACCTTTAGCGTCAGTTAGATGACGCTCATCCTAGGGCATCATCTAACTGACTCTTTTGACCATGCGTCTAAGTCCGACGCACATGGCAACCTTTCGGCAACCTTTAGCATCAGTTAGATGACGCTCATCCCAGGGCATCATCTAACTGACGCTTTTTGACCATACGTCTAAATCCGTCGCACATGGCAACCTTAAGCGTCAGTTAGATGACGCTCATCCTAGGGAGTCATCTAACTCAGTGTTTCCCAACCCTGTTCCTGGCGGCACACCAACACTGCGCGTATTCTTTGTCTCCCTAATCAAACACACCTGATTGAACTCATCAGCTCATTAACCCATCTGATTATGAGCTGATGAGTTGAATCAATATTCAGCTTTGCCATCACAAAAATAAATTACATTTTATAATATATTATAATAGAAATGAATTACAATAATATTTCAGTTTGATCTACTAAATGCAGCCTTACTTTATATGATCATGCGTCTAAATTCGACGCACATGGCAACTTTTAGCGTCAGTTAGATGACGCTCATCCTAGTCCATCATCTAACTGACGCTTTTGACCATGCGTCTAAATCTGACGCACATGGCAACCTTTAGCGTCAGTTAGATGATGCTCATCCTAGGGCATCATCTAACTGACCCTTTTTGACCATGCGTCTAAATTCGAAGCACATGGCAACCTTTCTGCAACCTTTAGCGTCAGTTAGATGACGCTCATCCTAGGGCATCATCTAACTGGCACTTTTAACCATGCGTCTAAATCCGACGCACATGGCAACCTTTAGCGTCAGTTAGATGACGCTCATCCTAGGGCGTCATCTAACGCTTTTGACCATGCGCCTAAATCCGACACACATGGCGACCTTTAGCGTCAGTTAGATGACGCTCATCCTAGTCCATCATCTAACTGACGCTTTTGACCATGCGTCTAAATCTGACGCACATGGCAACCTTTAGCGTCAGTTAGATGATGCTCATCCTAGGGCATCATCTAACTGACGCTTTTTGACCATGCGTCTAAATTCAAAGCACATGGCAACCTTTCTGCAACCTTTAGCATCAGTTAGATGACGCTCATCCTAGGGCATCATCTAACTGACGCTTTTTGACCATGCGTCTAAATTCGAAGCACATGGCAACCTTTCTGCAACCTTTAGCGTCAGTTAGATGACGCTCATCCTAGGGCATCATCTAACTGACACTTTTAACCATGCGTCTAAATCCGACGCACATGGCAACCTTTAGCGTCAGTTAGATGACGCTCATCCTAGGGCGTCATCTAACGCTTTTGACCATGCGCCTAAATCCGACACACATGGCAACCTTTAGCGTCAGTTAGATGATGCTCATCCTAGGGCATCATCTAACTGACACTTTTTGACCATGCGTCTAAATTCAAAGCACATGGCAACCTTTCTGCAACCTTTAGCGTCAGTTAGATGACGCTCATCCTAGGGCATCATCTAACTGACGCTTTTTGACCATGCGTCTAAATTCGAAGCACATGGCAACCTTTCTGCAACCTTTAGCGTCAGTTAGATGACGCTCATCCTAGGGCATCATCTAACTGACACTTTTAACCATGCGTCTAAATCCGACGCACATGGCAACCTTTAGCGTCAGTTAGATGACGCTCATCCTAGGGCGTCATCTAACGCTTTTGACCATGCGCCTAAATCCGACACACATGGCAACCTTTAGCGTCAGTTAGATGATGCTCATCCTAGGGCATCATCTAACTGACGCTTTTTGACCATGCGTCTAAATTCGAAGCACATGGCAACCTTTCTGCAACCTTTAGCGTCAGTTAGATGACGCTCATCCTAGTCCATCATCTAACTGACGCTTTTGACCATGCGTCTAAATCTGACGCACATGGCAACCTTTCTGCTTTTTTTACGTCAGTTAGATGACGCTCATCCTAGGGCATCATCTAACTGACACTTTTAACCATGCGTCTAAATCCGACGCACATGGCAACCTTTAGCGTCAGTTAGATGAAGCTCATCCTAGGGCGTCATCTAACGCTTTTGACCATGCGCCTAAATCCGACACACATGGCGACCTTTAGCGTCAGTTAGATGACGCTCATCCTAGTTCATCATCTAACTGACGCTTTTGACCATGCGTCTAAATCTGACGCACATGGCAACCTTTAGCGTCAGTCAGATGATGCTCATCCTAGGACATCATCTAACTGACACTTTTAACCATGCATCTAAATCCGACGCACACGGCAACCTTTAGCGTCAGTTAGATGACGCTCATCCTAGGGCGTCATCTAACTGAAGCTTTTGACCATGCATCTAAATCCGATGGACATGGCAACCTCAGTTAGATGACACGGGTTAATTTAGGTCTGGGGTAGGGTTAGACCACTCTTATATTGACGCTAAAGGGTGCCATGTGTGTCGGATGTTGACGCATGGTCAAAAGCGTCTGAAATACTGATTTGTGATTAAACTGATTACATGAGAAGAAAAAGACATTAAACTAAAGCACATTAAGAAATCGCTAATTGAGTTAATAAACAATATTTGACAGGTCTACACAATAAAGTCTTCGAAAGAGTTGTGCACTCTTGCTATTGTTCTTCAAGGACGGTAAAGCTAAAAATGTAACAAGTGTCTTTAATCACAGTTCGCTCCGCTCCACTTCTCAGAGCAGCTCTCTGAAGAACATAAGCTGAAGGAAGAGACCGGAAAGAACATGATAGGATTTTGGAGGGATGAGCACATTTCCTCTGTCTGTGGAATGCAGAGGAATGTGTTCTATCACTCTGCAGCGACTTCCTCCACAGTGTCGCACATTCTTTCACCTGTCTGCAGAAGATTTGGCAGCGCTGAGAAGAAAACTTTCAGCATATGTCTGCTAAAGCTTATTTCTTGCTCATAAATAACATATATGAGAGAAAAAAAATTAAACTTGAGGCAAATGAGCTTAAATGCGTTGTCCATTCCAACCCAAGTCCATTTTTAGGGACTCTCACCTAAAAAAGTGATTTAAAGGATTCTGTTCATTGTAATACGAAAAATTCGCAGGTCATAAAATCTTTCCACTTGAGTGTGGGATAATATGCAATCTGTACGTCCAGCAGTGATTAATTCATTAAGATTTTCATATTGACATTCCTATCAGCACAAGGGACTTTTCTATGCGGCGATTAGAGAGGTGCTTTAGCAAACTCGCATCTCTGTTTTATGATACAAATGATAAGACATGCTAATCAAAGTATGTGGTGAGATGATGTTATGATGCATTTGCATCAGCCACAATGACCGGTGACTCTCCATAAGTGCTGTCAATGGACAATGTGAGCACATCCCACGCTAGGGGGCTGCATTTGCAAACTCGGTCCGATACCTGCGAGGCTCTGTGTGCCCCATGTCTTATCTTTGCACGGGTCACGGCAAACCATCACGGAAACCCAACAGTTCATCTACTGATGAATATTGCTCATCCCCAGTTCCCATAAGGCAGATTTCTTTGACAGTGCAGTGGCACTCAATTGTTTTTAAGTTCAACATTTATGGTTATTCATACAATGGGATGCAGCTTAAATAGTGATTTAAAGAGGGAAACAAAATAACTTCTATATTTATATTTTATCCAGGAAATATTTTATCCAAATTATTATTTCAGTTAACTAAAACGTACATTTTTGTTACTTGAAAAAATAATAAAATAAATGTAAAGTAAAATATAGTAAACCTTAAGTTCGATGTATTTCAAACTTGACCTACGTCTTGCTACTGGCACGATTAAGTGCAGTGCCGAGTTTGACATTGTTTGGATTAGAAATCCAAAAGATATTGTTAATCTATCTATAAAAGAAGCAGACAGTTGTGGTTTAAAAATAAACATTCTGACAGCTAAACATTAAGTCAGCTACACTGTTTACTTCTGGAGTAAAAAAAGTAGTGATTCTTTTCGAGAAATGTAGCGATTCTTTTCAAGGTTGTTATGCATTTTAGTTTAATGTGATGTTACGCTGAGCACCTCACGATTGTGACTTGTAATCAAAAAACTGAAAACATAATGATTCTTTTTTTAAAAGATTCTTTTTTTTTTAAGTAGCAATTCTTTTTGGAAAAAGTATCGATTCTTTTTCAAAAGTAGCAATTCTACTTGGAAAAAAGTAGCGATTCTTTTTGAAATTAGTGTTAAAAAATGTAATAATACATTTGTCACAGTCCTATACATGTATTACAATGTAATTATATGTTTATTACAATGTAATTATACATTTATCACAATGTTATTATACATTTGTTGCATTATTATTGTTATACATTTGTTACATTATTATTTTATTACACTATTCTTTTTGAAAAACTTGACGTTATCGTTTTCTCATAGTTTAGGCTACTGTGTAATAGCCTAGGCTATTCAGCAACTCAAACATAACAAACCAACAATTACTAAAAACACACAAAAACTGATTTTGCACAGGCATTCTAAATAAGAAAGGCAGGCGTTTTCTTTTTATATTTATTATTTATATTTATTTTCTTTATATATTTTCATATTCTCTTGGCAGATGCTTGTATCAAATGTGTGTTACTGCACTTTTTATAAAAATAACATTAGTTTGATTTAGTTTTATTAGACCACACATGGTAATGGTCCTTACTTAACTATTATATTAATATCAATGTTATTTTAGCATCATTGAAAAACATTTAGAGTTTTAATTGTTTTTGTTTTTACTTTCATTGCAGTTTTAGTAATTTTGTTGTGTGTGTGTGTCTGTTTTTGTCATTTTTCAAAATTGTTTTATTTTAGTACCTCAAGTTTAAACAAATGAAAATGCTAATTGAGTGGATACGTTTAAGTTTTGCTATATTTGATTTCAGTTAGATTTTATTCCTTTTGTTTTATTTATTTATTTATTTATTTATTTATTTATTTATTTATTTATTTATTTATTTATTTATTTATTTATTTATTTATTTATTTATTTTTTAATTTTAGAAATATCACAAGTGGCTTAAGTGAATGATTTATACTGCAATCGAATGTAGGCTGATTAATAAATGTATTTTTTTTTAATAAAAAGTGCCACAGCAGCTATTTAATATCTGAAGGAAATGTATTGGTTAAAGGTGCCATCTGTAAAAATTGAGGTTAAAATATCCCAAAAATGAGCTACACGCATCAAAAGATTGAGAAGAAATAAGGTTGATGATGTCATTAAAAAACTGACACGTTATAGTGCTGCCGAGATATTAATCTGAATTAGCATGCTAAATTACTAGCCCCGGCCCGGCAGGTGTCGTAATACCAGTTTCGACCATGGGAGGCGGTATGCGGGCGGGCAACGTTAGCACCAGCCAAACTGCAGTACACGAGTGAGTCGCGCTCGCGCCAGCTTGTGTTTACTTGAACCTGACGTCAGTCGTGTGGAAAATACAGCCCACTACTACATTTCAGTTCAGGGAAGAGTTAAAAAACAATAATTGGTCGATATTATGCATGAGGAATACATTTTGGTAAGTTGTAGCATACTTTATCTTTTAACAGTGTTCGTGTTCTTTTACCATTAGCTAGTAGAGATGATCGGTTCACGTGTGCTAGGGATCTGTCGTGTAAAGCGCCAATACTGTATTTATTGTTTGAATTGCATAATAAAATGAACAGAATCTGAGAGCTGAGATCGGTCTCCGTGTCCTTTTCTGTGCATGACAAAATTGATGTGTGGCGTGAGAGTGTGTGAAAAGTGTTGTGAGAGTTGGCAGCTCTGAAAGACGCTAGCGTGGTCCACATCAGGGAATGCTGTCTGTCAAATTAATTCAAACTAATGATAAAAAATGTAATATGAACAAATCGAATATCATAAAACTAGAAATAATAGCCTGGGCTTTAATTTTCCCATATCGTCGAAATGCACCGACTTGTCTATGAGACGGCCCTTATAATTTAGTATTGAGATGTTGTTCATTTAGTCTCTAATCTCTGAAAATCTCCAAATGCTCCACGTGAAACTGCGGTCTTCCAACCTTTTACTATCGTGTCAATTGATTTGATTAATATGCACGAGGGAGACAGAGCAACACAGCACTCGCCCATATTGTTTGAAGACATGAGAGAGCGCGTGGCCGTGGAGGTATTTCTGGAGGTATACTGCCCCCATCTGGTATGGAACATGTTGTATGATTTGATTTTAAATCCCAGAGGGCACCTTTAATGCTTGCCTTCTATGCGGCAACACAAAATAGTCAAATGAATTTTGAATTATGTTTTCATATCTGTGACTAATTTGTGTAATCAGAAACAAATAGTGACCAGAGGGCACAGGAAGCTACTTTCCACACTGTCTACCCACACTTGGACCTCACAGACAGGAATGACCCACCAGAACATTCCTTCTTTCCATGGGACACTGTCTTTCCCTGCAAAGTGCACAACTCATGCAAAGCAGCAAATCGCTGATATCCTCTGTGACTCCTCTTTTCCTTCACCCCCGAGTCCCATTAGTCAGTTAAGATCCACATTGTTTAATACGAGGCAAGAAAGGTGGAGATTTTTTTTTTTCACTCTCAGTCATTATTGTCTTAGACCTCAGGTCTGTTCCACCCAAACAATCCAGTGACCCGCTGGCCGAGGAGGCAGCAGAGATTCTTGTGTATGTATCAGGGTGCAAGACAAGATAGTTGTGTAACTGGGGGGAGGTGCATATCATACACACTATAAGAACGGGACAGGACGGTTCAACACTAGACAAGCACCTGCAGCAGAGGGAGATCTATTGGAATTGCTTTGTACTGTGTTCTTTGTATTGAAACATATGTGCAACATGGAATCAAGAATTACTCTGATCTTCATTACCTTGTGCACAACTCTTCATGAAGGTAAAACATTTTTGAGTTTGTATTACATATTTTGGGGGATTTATATGTATATATATTTATTTAATGATAAAGAGAATAGATATGGCATATATAAATTTGTGATTTTTAAACATACATTTAAATAATAGCTTTACTTGATTATAAACCTTTGAAATTTGAAGTATTTTCTAAGTACCTTCATTTTCATTCTCAGAGAAACATCTTTAGGTTTGCACATTTATTTTGACTGTTTAGAATAAACATTTAAACTCTAATTTGTTTGCACCTAATAAAATGACAACATAATAGAAATGATAGTGAATTCAGTTCAGATTATTATTTTAAACACATGTCTAACAATATATGCAAAAACAGTCAGGGGCTCCTATTAATTTTTTTTCCAATTGGTCATCTCAGCATTGCCAATTAAAGCCAAAATTGACAACTAAGATGTATGTGAATAGCTTTGAACTTTAAAATTGCCTCGTTAAGATCAAACGTCTGAGACGTTATTACATAAGATAACGACCAGTGAGAAAGAATAGAGGTATAAACTAAAACAATAAAAGTGTAATAATAACATGTGGTGAGGCACATCATGTCTCTTACACCGTGTCCTAACTACACGCGACGCGATAAAATTCCAGCGACAGCTTGTCGTGTAGTTAGGACATGGTGTTAGACTCAACTGCTGGAGCTTTTTGGCCCAGAATGAATTTGGCAAGTTTGATGGACCGCAATGTATTCCTTTTCTATAGGCTGGGGGTTGCCTCTATTGCCCCAGACTGACCCGAGTGACCCGTCTGAAACCCATAGGGTCAGGAGCAAACGCTGCTCCTGCAACAACCAGCTGGACTCCGAATGCCATTATTTCTGCCATCTGGATATCATCTGGGTGAACACGCCAAGGTGAGTGCTCACCTATGCACAGGTTAACCTGATAAACATATGCAAGTTCAACCAATACAAGGACACTTTAAAGGGCTCCGATGCGTGAAAAGAAACATCATGGATATATGAATACGTAACTGTTCCAGTAGGCCAGTGCACCCTTGTGACTTGAGAATGCTTTTATATCATTAAAAAAATCACTTTTGAGTTATTGAGCATTTTATTGCTTTTTATCTAGAATACTGTTGACACTGGTTACAATTATCATGCTTAAAACAGTACAAAGTCCCATTGTGGTTTATTCCTTTTTGATGAGTTAACATGTTAAGTGCCCCCCCCCCCCCTTTGAATAGACATAAAAATGCAATTTTTGCACTTAAATGGTTGTAATTCAAGAATGCATTGAAATATAGACGTAAGATTGGTCTCGTTTTACAGAAGACATTTGGCAGATTTGGCAAGTTACAGAAGTTTGAGTTTATGGAAATGTACAATGTAAAAAAATATTATTCATATTTTATATAAAATATATATTTTCAAAACCTGGGCTACAATAAAACTGCAGAAAAATCACAGCCAAAAATCTGAACAAGTTGTGTTTAACATTTTAGGTTGATATCTCAAAAATTGAGCTTTCAGTAGTTTGGGCGCAGTACTTTTTCACTAGATGACAACCTACATTTCCATATGTGTTTTTAAATGATTTGAACCATTATTTCCACAATTTTCATACAATTTGTGAATTAGAGATCCTATTTAGAAGTAGTATGGGAAGTTTAGCAGATTTTGATATGAATTCAACCTCTAAGAAACACGAATATGCGCTGCTGCCATATCACAAATGGTGATTTTAAAAAAAATTTAAAACATTTTCAGATCTTTTTTTTTTTTCTAAAATAATTGAATGGATGCTATCTTTTGAACTCTTGGCATGAAAACAAACTGGTTTCTACCATTTGTTTATGTTCATTGCTATTTCAAAATAAAGGTCTGAACATGCCTTAGGAGTATGAAAATATTCTTGTTGCAAATTAATAAATTGTGGCTCCTCTGTAATTTATTTTGAAAAGCAGTCACCAAATATGAAAACTAGAGATTGTAAGCTTTTAAATGAAATATAGTTTGCCAATATTACTTAAGGTTTTAACTAAGATATTTTTATTTAAAAAATGTAATGGCAAACGTCAAACCTGTGAGACGGTGACAGTTTAATCACTGGATGCTCTCGGCGTGTCTCCTCTACAGTAAAACTACGGTGTATGGATTGGGCAGTCCGCTGGCTCGCCGTCGTAGGTCAACAGGCCGCTGCTTCTGCACCAACCCTGCAGATCGGACATGCAACAGCTTCTGCCACTACAGGTAAATCCCATCTCACGTCAATTAATGTCCATGCGCATTAGTATTCTTCTTTGGAAGGCTATTTTTATTGTAAGGGTGTGCTCTTTTAGGGTGCGGAGTTGTCATTAGGGTGTGAGGTGATACCAGACAAACACAGTTGGAGAATCCAGATGATATGACAAGTGAAGTGTTTTTGAATTGGAGTTACTTAGAGAGTTTCATCTAATGAATCAGAGTTTTAGTAATGGCTTTCAGGCTATGACCGCGATTTGAACTCACAAGGAAAAACTTTGTCATCATGATAGCCTGCATAGTCAATAAAGCAGTCTTATCTATTATCAGGTTTTGATCACTGTAATGTATTCATAAACTATGCAGTTATGTGGTTGTAATCTGTTGATATGACAACCAGAGAGAAGATAGATTGATCTTGCCACAAAAAACTGAACTACTTTCTTGTTGATTCCTAAGAAAACCAGCTAAAACTTTTACCTGTTCAATGTTCATATATAGTGTTGGACAGTCTCAGTTATATGAATTTACTTCTTAAATGGTAAGTTCACCCAAAAAATACTAATTCTGTCATTAATTACTCACCCTCATGACGTTCCAAACCCGTAAGACTTTTGTTAATCTTCGGAACGCAAAAGAAGATCCTTTAATGAAAATGGATCCTTCCAGCCATTGACAGCCTACACAATTACCACTTTCAAGGCCCAGATATGACTCCACTTGTTTAAACTCAATTTTATAAAATGATGTAAGTGCTTTGTTTGTGCAAGGACCAACATAATTTACCACTTTCTTTAGAAAACATGACTCACCAACGTGGATGTGGGCGAGCCGCGAGTATTTAATGACAGAAATGTTTATTTTTGGGTGAAAGTATCCTCAGTATAGTTAGCTACTAAATGCAGACTAAATTCTTAGAGAAGCCCAGTATGTCGCCTGCAGAGAGAGGTTGTAGCTATGGTTTGAAGTAGCTTCCTCAACACTTCTGAAATGGATTTATTAGCCATTTTAGCAGTCATCTAAAACAATCCAGAATTTTTTTTTTGATCCCTTTTTATTTTGACAAATTTTTTGTACATTTCTCTAAGCTCTGAAAACCCTGCCATCATGCTGGTGCATCCATCTGAACCTGTCTATGAAAAACAGGAAACACCCAAATTAGATCACCTGACCGGCCCAAATAACTCTGAAAATGCTAGTCCAGGAGTTCTGGTTTTAGGGAAATCTTCCTCCCTTGGGGCTCGGTCAAATGCCATAACCTTCCTTAGGTAAGGCCGCATTGCACAAATCATGTAATTCATGCAATTTACACACCTTATTCTTTGAAAGAGCTGTGATTGTGTCCTTATTAGCACCATTACTTACAGTAAATTCATCTGACTTTTCAGGAACCTGGTTAGGGCTAGAGCGAGGGTCATGGAAAAGTCATCCAAACCTGGCTACAGATGAAAAACTTACCTGGAGGAGAGATAGGAGTGCGAGCACTTGAACAAAAGATGACCCTTGTGCAACCTGGGGCAGCAGAACATCCTATATACGCTGCGATCTGGAAGCGCCGTTCCCCATAGACAGTACTGTGGAAACAGAGCCTTTGAAGCATGTTTAAGACCGAATAGGTGAGATGTGAGTTGAGGGCAAGTCAGACCTGAACACTGGGACTGCACAAAAGAGGGTTAGGTGTTATTGACAGTCCTGTAAAGCAAACAGGACGTTAGCTAAGTGGCTATGCTAAAGCTATCTGACAGGATCATAGCTAGTCCAAAACACCAAGTTTGAACTGTCAGAAATAAAAGAGACAGGCGAAGTGCTAATTCAGATTTTGTTGGAAGAGCACTGAATGTGAGAATCTGCAGTACTTCTACTATTTATCTGTACTATTGGAGCTCACCAAATATATATAAATATATATAATATGAAATATATATAATATTTTAGGATAGACAAAAGATGACCTAGCTATGAGTTAATTACATATTTACCTGAGACAACCAATAGTTTCAAATTAAGTGTCATGCCTAAATGGGCGGCATCTTGGGACACACCAAATAGGTTTTTAAACACCCAGCCCATTCAGGAGCATTTAAGTTGGAATGTTTTCATCAACGAAAATATATAGGGGTGTGATAAGTCATTTGCATTTTTCTTGGCCAGGTTGGATAATGCTTGTTGTTAACACTGGTTGCACAGCTATGCAAATCTTATCTGGTGAAGATAGTTGACCAGCATAGTCTTTTTGGTTAAGGTGATTGCTCAAAAGTCTTGGTAAAAAAAGTAAAAAGAAAAAAAAGAAAACAGCATAGCAGTCCATGCTGGGAACCAACATGCATAATGGTCAACGGCAATACTTGTGTTTTCCGCATGGAGCTTTTTTAAAGTCGACACAATAATGAGATATTTCTGAGAATACCACATTTAAAGGTTGACCACTTTGTATGGACTGTGCACTTGTTTTCACATCCATTTACCTTTAACAGTTATGATATTCAAGTTATGTTGTTCAATCTGTTGTTATTAACACAGATAGATTTCAAAATTTTGAAATATTTTTCAAATTTATCTATTTATTGAATAGAACTGGGGGAAAAAAAGTCCTTTCCTATTTATTGAATAGAACTGGAACATTTTAGAGAGCTAACAATGTAGTGTACTCAGATGTATGAACTTTATGATTAAGTTTGTGCTCTTAAATTTAATAATTTATCATTTTAAGTTACTCAATTTGCTAAGAATAGAAATAGATTCCTCTATGTATAACAGCAATATGGTTTATGTTTTATATTCTGATGAAATTTATATTTTCCAAAAGTGATGTATTCATTCTATTTCAAATATACTCTGAAGTGTTTTCTGATATGACCTATCAAATGTGTTGTTAACAAAAAATGCTAATTTTAAAATAACATTTTTGTTCTGTCCCTAATTCTGTGTCCAACCGAGCTCTGTAACCCCACAGTCTTGTTTTCTCTGTTTCGGACATTATCAGATAATGTATGAAAATAAATAAATAGCCCACAATTACACTTCATGTTCAAACATTCTTGGCATTATCTCTTGCATACGTAGGTTCGTATAATTGCCCTGGATCACTGCCTATTCCTCGGTCGGTTGACAATATATCTTGGCATGAGAACTCAAAGGGTGTGTACGTGGTTGAAAATTAATTAGTTTGAACACTTTGACATGTTGTTGTAATGTGAAAGATATTGTGGAACAGGTGAAATAGGCAGGAAGCTTACAGGCGCATGGGAAAGAAACAGTGTAGACAATAGCCATGCGAGAACAGCCCTGGTTTCCATCTTCCTGTCATGATAGATTATATTGGCAAACAGTGCACATACTGTAAGGCTAGTTTCCAAAATCTAAGACCTTATCCTTATCCCGAGTATTTATTCTCAAATTCTTATTTTTAGTCTAAGATTTCATCTAAGTTGGAAAAAAAAGAAAAAACTCGCACCCTTCATTGTTATGTCTGCAGGTCTGCTGTAGGTATATCATTCCTGTGCAGACATTCAAATGTACAACATTTATTGCCTCAAGGTCTCTCACCATGTCTGCTCCTTTAAATGCGTTTAGTATGTGTGAGAAATGCAGCCACATATATGGGCCGCAATGACTGATGGTGAGATAACTGCAATTTACCTGAGCACAATACCAAGGAGAACGAATATTTCAACATTGCGTCATTGTGCTGGTATGAGAAGCCTTATAAATTGCTTTTAATTGCCAAATATTGAGCAACACGAGTAAAAGAACCGTAGATGTTTTAAGAGCAAAGCTGCCTTAGAGGAACTTTATACCCAAAAATAAAAAATAAAGCTTTCATTATTTACTCACCCTCATCTTTTTTTTTTTCTACTGGACACACAAGTATAAAATAGTTCTTATGACTCGTACACTATACTCCGAGTCTTCTGAAGTCAAATGACAGATTTATGTGACAAACAAAGTTTTTTTGAAAGTTATTCACTGTAAATCTTGACTTGACTTCTACCTCCTTGGCACGTTCATGAGCAAACAATTCATTTGTGCCAAATCTATTCAATTAATCATTTGAATTGATCTTTTTTTGAGTTACTGATGATGCAACAGTAAACCGTGGTGTGCAAGGAATGGAAAAGTTATCACAGAATAAAGGTGCGGTCAAAAGACAGCACAAAATATGAACCATTATGATGCTTTTGTGATGCTTAATTGCAGCTGGGATGAGTACAAAATTGTCTTATTTTTATTTCATTTTAACAGAGATGCCATTTCTTTTGAATACACAAACAATGAATTACAAGGTCACAAGGTTTATGCCTCCAACAATAGTGACATTTGAGACAATGGCAGCCGCTGTAGCGTCCATCTCTCCCTTGAGCTCAGCCTTAATGTCTCTCCCACTCGAAAAACAGGATGCCTTTACACATTCCATCCCAATTGCCACTGGATTAAGAGTGAGGAGAATGTCAGGAAAGGCACCTCAGAGGTAAATAAGAGGAAACTAAATGAAGTAGATGGTGGTTGATAATGGAAAGCATAAAAGTGGCACGTTTTCTCTCCTTGGTGGTCACAGCTGCAGGCACGAACAATAGGAAGAAAGTGTTCTTAATTTGCTGTTTTAATTCCCTGTATGTCAGAGAAGCTTCTGCTTCTAACCTGGGGTTAACCATCAGATGTCAAAGTTTTCTGTATCCAAAAACTCTCTGATTAAGATACTATACTGAGATAGCATCATGAGATAACCAGATAATCAGATGATGTGTTCAAGTAGTAGCAGCAGTGTGATATCAGTAATTGCTATAGCCCTATGTGATTTGTATCTACTGTTACTGCGATCAATGCCCAGTTAAATACCCAGAATGCCAATCTTGTGCCAGATTGTTCAATATGCAGAAGCTGAATGAATCAGTTTGATTCATGGGAAATGTATGAACTACATGACATAGATGTTACTGAAGTTAGGGAATAAATGAACAAATTATGACCATAAGTCAAAATTGTCACTTTAATTGAATTTCGTCCCATCTTTTTATTTAGAGTTATTGAAAAGTGTATGCATACTGACTTAATATCGTAATCAATTTGTCCCTCATTTTTGACTTATTTCTCATTTCCTTTATATTCTTTGTTTCAAGTATCCTTGTTTATGGTGTTGTTTGTCCGTGTTTCACTCATCCAGTTATTTCCTGGCATGTCTGAAGCATCCTTGGGTTTGTGAAAGGGAGGTACTATAGAAATAAAACATTTTAGCAAATACTTTTTAATTGTTTTGTTAATTATATTTGATAATGGATTGCATAAAATGTGTGTTTTAAGTTTTAAGTATTGCCTCAAATTTAATTTCCCATTCAGTCACTCATTTAAGTCGCAAGGAACTGATCAGGCTAGGCGGTATATCGAGTTTTTACGATATGTCGATATATATTTTTTAAACGATATCGAACGAGGCAATACCATTTATCAATACAGTATTTTGATAGGAGGTCGCAGTGTGAGTAGCAACATAGTACAATTTGACACAAACATGACACAAGCTTATATTAAGGGCTTTAAAATAACTGGTAAGATGGTTAACAAGTTTAAAGCAGCTTGTCCTGTCATGTCAGATGCTCTGACAGATACTGTTGCTGACTGACAGATAAATACTTGCCCTGTTTAAATGTCGTTTTTGTCCGCCACGAGAGGGCGCAGTTTCCAACAATAACAAAGGCATAGGTTTATGACGCAGTGATGAGCTGAATGATGGGATTTGCTGTCAAGCTGATGGATCTAATAATGTTTATGGATGAGTATAAACATTCATGTTTTTTAACATTACAGTGGTACGAAGCAGGTCGCGATTGCTAAAGAGACAGATATCACACGCGAGTCCCGCGGATATAAAGGAATAAGGACATTTAATTCTACCGAACCACCCGCAAGTGCTGGATTACTCACAATGGTCAGTTTATTAGACGAATTAAACTTGTGAGGTAACGCAGCGCTGCTTCACTTGGTCTAACATTACACTATCACACTAAATGGCTATTGTTGGTTTTTGCTATACAAAACTAGCATTAAGCTAGATCAACATTAGAATAACATACTGACCATATTCTAGCATTTCATCATGTTGAGCTAACGTTATATAACATTGAATTGTTTTATGTACATTTGCTCACCTGTCTAATAAAGCTGTCAAGTCGTGACTCGTGAAGCTCTGTCAAGTCCAAGTAAGTCACGGACGTGGAGCTCTCGGCATCTCAAAAACGCCACGCTGATATTGATCCTCATTTTAGTTCTCCTGTTTGTCCCAAAGTCTGCTTGCCTAGCCATGGTCTATGTTTGAAAGAAACAAGAACTGCATGCCACTAAACGTTACGCACTACTATGCAGTTGTCCACCCTTGTCGCCATGGTTACGTCATAGCGATGGCAGTATGAACGGAAACCGAGGATAGCGCGTCATTGACTGGCGACATTTTCTTCCGGGTTGACCACTTATTTAAAATTGGAAGTTCTCTGAAATAAAAAAAATCTTTGGACTTTTGGATATTGTAAGTACACAACTGCAGGAAATATATCACACTGTGCAAGTGATTTTTGGATATTTTATTACAAAATTCTTACATATTGTACCTTTAATGCACCATTGGGCAGAATGTGAAAAAAATGTTTTTTAAATAAATAAATAAAGATTTTCTTTAAACGTAGAAAGTACCGAGATATATATCGTACATCACCATTTAACAAAAAAAAAATACATAGCTATGATTTTTTTGGCCATATTGCCCATGCCCTACACTCTAAAAAATGCTGGGTTGTTTTAACCCAACTTTGGGTCAAATATGGACTAACCCAGCCGTTGGGTTAAATTTTTACATTACATTTTTAACCCAACATTTCGGGTTTGTCCATATTTGACCCAAAATTGGGTTAAAACAACCCAGCATTTTTTAGAGTGTAGTTAAGGGGAAACTTTATTGTCAGAGATTTAGCTATTTTTTATTTATTTATTTATGTTTCACAGCCATTCTGAACTCATATATTAAAGTGATGCAACATTTTCATGACAGTAAGTTTTCTCATTTTGCCAGTAATTTTAGCAGATGAGGGAAAAGGTTAATTTTAGACCCTACTCACGCCCGTCGCTTGTCCCTGTGGTACAGTTTTGTCTGAGATACATCATTAGTTAGATCCCTGTTTGACAGTCCCTCTTGGGAAGCTGGAGCTAAGTTATCATTCCAGAGCATTTGGGACATTTGTCAAAGCCAGTGTTTATACTGTATACAGTGGCACTGGCCTCAATCAACCCCTTTCACTTTTCTCGCTCACGTGTGAGTCTCCAAAACAGGAAGTTGCTATTTCCTTTATAACCCAAACAAACAGTTCTTCCTAATTACAGAATTCCCTTTCAGGTAAGTACCTTTCCATAAATTTTAGCTGTCTGGTGTCTGATGAAATATCTCTCTTTTTTATTCACCCTGTAGTGCTTGAGGGTTTGCAGTAAATGAAATTAACCCGACTATCAATAAATCACTATTGCACCTCTATGCAAACATACCAGCAGGCTAATTTATCAGTAGCTGTTAAAAAGGAATAAACTTATGAGTCTGTCATCCTTTACTCACCCTTTCATTTTTGTCAGTTTAATAAAAACAGATTTTCTAGATTTGTTTTAAATAAATTGTACTTCAGTTAAGAAGTTATTTAATTGATATTATTTAACTGGGTCTCGTGTCCCAGTAAAAAGAGTCTAGTGACACTATTGTGCTAAAACGTTTTAAGTATATGTGCCTTTTAAAGATGCATGAACTAGCAAAAAAAAATAAATAAAAACCAATGTGAATAAATAAAATTTGCTTTTAATGTTCCACCTCTCTAAATTATTTAAGTAATTTTTATAGCACACACAATCAACTAAGCATTCATTTGTTGTACCGGTGCTAATGTTGATATATTTGATCACTTAAAGGGATACTCCACGCAAAAATGAAAATTCTGTCATCATTTACTCACCCTCACGTTGTTGCAAACCTCTATGAGTTTCTTTCT